CGGGGGCGGCCACCACCGCCGCCCCGGCCCCCGACGGGGTCTTCGGTCAGGTACCGACCCACGCTATTGTGGGCCGGGAGAACTGGCACCAGGAGCTGGGAATCCTGTTAAAGTACGTACAGAAAGCTGAGTGCGGAAAAACTCAGGGCTGCTGGACAAAATATGGGTCTCTTACATCACAGTTTGAAAGGTTCTTGCTTTCCAGAACTTACACTGTAGATGTATCAGTTTTCTTTCTTTCTTTTCTTTCTTTCTTGTTTTTTTTTCCTCTGAGGGCCCGGTGATATTAGCATTTAGTTCACAAAGAGGGTTAGCGCAGTAAACGTAATCTAGGAAATTGTGTCCTTGTGGTTAGTTCTTACTGGTTTTGTTCTTTACTCAGTACCCTACCTTCATCTGTGTGGAAGCAGTTATGTAGGTACAGAGATATGTGTGTGTGTGTGTATATATATATATGTATATATTTTAAACCGACTGCAAAGGGCGAAGTAACTGTACTCTTATAAGTCACTAGTTTATCAGAATAATATGTCTAAATGTGCTTTAAAGGAAGAAAAAAGAAAGTACCGTCTTAACAGAGAAGACAAATATATATACATATTCTTTTATTAGTACCTGAGCGGGAAGAGACTGTGACCTCCAGTGTAGAGGAACGACCCTTATCATTCGTTACTCAGAGCAGCAGCCGCTGTGGAGCCAGGTGCCTGAGCTGGGGCTTTCTGCCTTGCTGACACTGGGGCTGGTGAAATGCTGCAGCAGTGGGGAAATTTTGGAAAAAGTATGTCACCTCCGTCAGGAGACTTCACGGAGCAGGGCATAATCAGTAACCACATGTATCAGCTACCTTTTTGCTTCTTTGGAGGTACGGTTCTCTCCTTAACTTCCATTAATCTAGCGAAACTTTATGCAGTCTCTTCTTGCTGTCCTTGCCAACGTTTCAATAGAAAACAGCTCATTCATGTTTTGGTAATCCACACTAATGTCTGTGTACGAGTCGTTGAATAACTTTTTACTGCGCTTCTGTGCAGTGATTTAAGAGCTCCGCAGTGAAGTGCTTTTATAATAAAGGCTTTTACAAAATGTCCTGCAGAACATATAACCAGCTAGTTCTACCGGTAACTAAAAGTAAATTACAGCTTTCAAAGAAATGAACAAAGTACGCTGCGATGCACTGTCTCGGTTTTTGTCCTTTTATATTTGCCCAAATACTTGCTAATTTGCAATTGGCCTTACAGTAATTAATGCAAACTGGAGAAGTTCTACTTCAATAAACTTTTCTTGTTGTTTAAATACTAAATGCCTTTAATTATAGTATATCAGTATTCCTCCATCTCATTGCTGAAGTTCAAGCTGTTATGTTTTTTTCTAGAAAGGCACTGATAGTGGCTTTCTGGTTGGAGTCACAGTAGATTTTTTCCTATCAATAACGCTTTTTGACACTTACAAAATGGAAAAGAAGGGATGTTTAAAATAAATATATGGCTTAAAAGAGAAAAGCTGAGTTTAGAGGTTTGTGGTTACGCAAAATATTGCGATGGTGGGGTAAGGGAATGTAAACAGAAGGCCAAATGATTGTAAATGGTGTTTTGTATGTTTGAGATTAAGGCCGAGTCCAACTCTGTGTTTTTTCTTGCTTTCCAGAACTTACACTGTAGATTTATCAGTTTTCTGTATAGTTCTTTGGGCAGTGAAAATAATGTATTCTCATTTTACTCGGCTAATGATTTACAGTGCTGCAGCACAAACCTTTAAAAAGTGGTGCTATAAAAATATGCAAGTATTATATTGCCACTGACTTCCTCCCTCTTTAAATTTAGATAAATCAGCCTTTGTTCTCTTCAGTAAAATCAAGTCAAAAGTTTGAGCCTAAGCTACTACTTGTGGAATTGTAGTAGGGTCATATAAGAAAAGAGGATTTATTAGCACCAGTTTAAGTTAATTGTAAAGAACAGAAAGACAGAAAGCACGACCAACAATGTTTGGTACTTACAAAAGCGAAAAACCCTAAAGGTTAATTCTAGCTTTGTTCACAAATTAGGCACACTCGGTTAGTTTTTTTCTGCTCGCTATAACTTGGGCCTCCTATAGCTACTGAACCACCTGACCTTTCAAATGAGATTTGCTGGAGTGTGTGACACCTCCTGAGTACTCATCAGGAGTTATGATTTTTTCGTTTTAGCATTTGGTTTCCTTGAGCAAACATCCTTTCCAATTGAGTGGTAGGTAATCTGCAGCCTCTTCTAGTTTTGGACATAATACTCCTGATAACAACTCCGGCAAAACTGATTTTGTTACCTCTTGTAGAATATCAGACTCGAAGGTAAACAGAAAGGAACCTATGGAGTTGCCATGGTGATTTCTAAGTTCATCCTTAGCATGTTGTGTCTTTTTCCGCAGACCAGCGCTTTCATGCTGTGTCACTTAGATTAGGATTGAGCCCAGGGTGTGTTGTAATGCTATTAAATAGTCTTGAAGGAAAACTGCTGCAAAACCCTTATGTGTTGGAGATGAATGTGTCCTTTGTAAATCAGCAGTCACACGAGGAAAAACTTGCCCTCTGGCACTGAACAAAGGCTACTGTGCCTATGTTAAATACTGTAGTGCCCACCCTTATTTGGAGGTGTTTACTTAATTCGCTGTAACATTATTTATTTAGCGCTCCCTTTCAAAAAAATACTTTTTTCACTTTTAGCGTATAGCCACAGATTCCGTTAACTTGTCACCTGAAAAATGCTTTCGAGGGGAAACATTTTTTTATTGAACCTCCTAGTTACTGATGCCATGAAAGCTGAGATCAGCTATTGACGTAAAGTGTAGGTTTGCTGTATGAAAATTGAATTGGCTATGGACATGGAGTTACTTCCCTGTTTATTGGTGCTGAGAATGTAAAGTGACTTAATGACTAATCTGAAGTCTGCAGACAGAGCGATGAGATAATGTACCCCCCTGAAGTACAGTGGCTATGTTTGGTGCGATGCCTTTGAGGAACGTGGAACTTGGGTTCTGCCTTCCCTTTGTGTGGCATATAACATCTGCATGCTGTACGATACTGCCGTCTCTATTTCAGGTCCTCCTTCATTGTACAGCTGTGCTTCCTTCCAGCACGTGCATCTTTTACTGTCTCTCTATATGGTAAAGTCTTAACAAGGACTCTGTTGCCTAATGAATGTAATTGATGGTACTTTCCATTCGTTCACTCTTCCTCCTCCCTTTCCTTCCTCTCCTGCTATCTTACAAATAGGTTGTTGTGTGACCATGATGTCAGAGTAAATTGCTCTGTAAGTTACTCTGCCTTTCTTACCTTCTCTCAGTAGGTTTATTTGTAACAACACCAAGCCTAAGAACACATAGATTTTTACATTTGAAATACTACATAAACAGCTATGTGATCGGAATTAGGGATGCAAAGGGAGAAGAGCATTTTCTTAGTAGTGCTTAGCTAGCTCTTTTCGTTTAGAAGGTATGTTACCTGTATTTATTGATTAGACCAAACAGCACCCAAGTCAGAATTGCAAATGCAACAGTAATTTGCTAAATGAGGTTTATTTATACTCAGATGATAAAACCTTATAAAAGACCTTCTTGGGAAACATGGCTGCATGAAACTACAAGCACGATGAATGTGACGTCTGTGAACTTTCTCCCCTACCTCTCCAACTCCTCTGCAATGGGAGAAGAGTTGTTTCTTTGGAGGGATTTAACGGGCTCTGATTGGAAGGATTCTTTTGCTGGGGTGAGGAGTCAGCAGAGCAGGAAAGCATTGCAGAAAAAATCTCTTTTAAGAGTGACTCCACCTGTGGAGTGAAAAGCCAAGAGACTGAGTATTGCAAAACTGAGAGTATGAATGAAAGGGTTAGTATCTGTGCGTGAAAAAGGGACTGGGAGTTGATGTAATAGGACTGTTTAGATTGTTTCTGAGTTGTTTTGCAAGTCTCCAGATTGGTGTAGCTTTTCAACAACTTGCTAAATTCCTCAATGATAATAATGGAAGAATAAAGTCAAATGATAGTGATGCCTGTAGATAATGAAGCTTCTCTGTGGCTTCAGGACTTTGCTGACTGATAGGGTGAGCAGAGTAGTCCCTGGCTCAGCTCATCCAGCTGGCCCCACTTTGAATTTAGATTGACAGTCAGTCGCTTGGGTCTGAAAACGACATTTTGAACTTTCAAGGAACCTGTTCTTATGGTCTTTTGTTTTGTTTTGTTTTTGGAGACCATAAAGTCTCCAGAGAGTTTGAGAAGGAGAGTTGTTTTTTCCTGCTAGTAAGTTGCTTCGTTGCTGATTTAGTGGGGTACTAAAATGATTTTGTTGCCTGTCATTAATGATATGATTGTAAGTATCCTTCCCACTGGTGTGTTGGTTTGATTTTATGGATTATCTCGACTGCAGATCATAGAGGCACCTGGAATGGTGAGGGTGGAAAACCACTTGCAAGGCCACATGGTTATAGTTACAGGCTTTTTTCTTATGTTGTGGTTGTCTAATTCTTATGCTGGGGTTGCGTGCCCCCCTCCCCCAATATTTTACTTCACCAGAACATCCCTAGATGCCAAGGAAGCTTTATTACTGATTATATTCGGTGTGATAAATCCGAAATCTCAGCTGTGTAGAGTATCTGAGTTTTTGTTGTGAGGGCTAAGCTGATCACATCATGGCTTATTTCCTCCTGTGGATGGAGAGCAAGGATTTGGGAACAAGAGCTTTCCCTTCCCTGTTAGCATTTTAGCTAACGAGAGTTACTGAGGCAGTGGGGAGACTGAAAGAATTTAATGCACTGGACTTGTGCGCAGTTAATGAAGGCTAGCGGAGACCAGGTGATGTGGGGGAATGGGCAGCGCTGCCAGGGCTGTGGTCCAGCTGTTTCCATCTACAGAGCCATGTATTAACCTATTGATATTTGCACTACTACCTCAGTCTGTGAGCAGCAGGAGCTGATCTGGGGACATGCCATGTTGTTTTCTTCCTTACACATAGAAGGCAGAGGGACAGATAGCACCAGAATTTGGTGATGTTTTACGTTGTTGCAGCTAGATGTCCTCAGCTTTAGCATCTTTGCTCTGCTGGTTGCCATACCATCAGTGGGGGCGATAGGAATGGGATGCTCATCTGTGCATTAGTAATGCTATGGGATGTCTGGGGCATGAGATGCTCCTGGACACCCTGGACAGTCCCAGACTGTGCTATTTCTGCTGTGGGAAAGTGCTGTTTTGGCAGGGCACCATGCTGAAACTTTGCTCTAGTGCTGCCAGAGACCTCGGTTAGAGGAGCAATACGTTTTTATATGCTTGGAACAGTGAAAATCTTGAGGGACCCTTGTTGAAATTGTGTGAGAGAGGCATGGCTGCTGTTGCTGGGAGTGCAATGTTAGTGCAGCTGTCCCTGGTGTGGTTTTGTTCCTTAAAGTCAAGCTAGTTAATAAACAACAAGTATTGCATTTCCCCTTTCCCTGAGAAATCTGAACATGGTTGTTGCAAGACAGCTGTTGTAGTATTCACATGTTTGTGTTCTCCTAGACTTTTGTACTGATTTGTCTATGAGCAGGGCTGCCTCTGTTAATGATTTCTTCTGAGCAATGTATCCAGGCGGTTTGCTTTCTGTGAGGTTGAAGACAGGTGGGGGGAAAAGTCTTGCTTGTCAGATGGTCTCAGGTTGCTGTAAGGTTAAAAAAGGCCGGCTCCTGTTTCTTCTTTTGTCTGCCCCGAGGAGAAGTAGTTGGGTATTTGTTCTTTTAGCAGATCGGGAACAAATGGATGTTCTTCATGTGGCTTTGGTATAGCTGGGCTATTTAGTTTTTGAGAAGTGCCTTGGTTATCGTATTTTCCTGTATGATGTAGAACTGTGAATGAATAGCTAGTGTTAGCA